TATATCCGTATATTGTGCAGTGCGCGGGTCCGATCCAAATCATTGTACCGTGATTGTCTTATGTGTGGCAGACACTCGCATATGTGCCACTAACTTTTTATTATCACGTTAAAATGTTACATTTTGATATAATTATACTTATTTATACTGCAAACGCGATGTTTTATTGACCGTGACCTACGCGCGTGTGCACGTTACGCGAGCGACTACAATGCGGTGACAAGAGTTTGGTAATTATATATGGCAGCTGTAGTGAATGAAATAAAACGTGTTCATATTATATAGTATTGTTCTTAAAATGAAAAAAAAATCAATAACGTTCCAATTTTTGCTTTTGTTTTAAATAAATTGCGATTACTCGTCTTATCGTCATTATCAAGTCACTATAACTGTATATTGTGTACTATATATATTTATTATACTGTATATATTGTATATAATATATAAATATTATACCACGTGCATTTGTTAATATGAGATCGGGAACACATGGATTGATTAATGCTCGTCAGCATTTTTTTTTTTTTAATATAACAATAATACAATTATTAGCTGTTACACAATATTATATTATACCGATAAGAATGTACGATATATTTGTGTCGAACAACGTTGTTAACAAAACCCGTTCGCTTTCAATAATAATAATAACAATACTGTGTACACGTAAACTATTTATATGACTAACGTCCCTTATTCCCTTATTCTACACTTCTGTGTAAGTAGTCCTGTTATTATCGCGACCGATTCACCCGAGCAAACACATCGGTTGTGTATATTTATGAGGGGATTCAATCCTCGCAATTGTCGCCCTTTCGGAGAGTTTCTTGGACACCTAACAGTTAATTATCATAAAAAATGTTTAAACTTATTAAATTAAATTGAAACATCTTCCTTTAGATAAATTCTTAATACTCATATTACATACTCGAATTTTTATCCAACACAGGCTTTATGACTTTAAATTGTTCAACTGCAAACAAACAATAATTATTATAATAACAGTAGTAAAACAAAATTATTACCATGTTCTACTTAAATACACAGACAAGCGCGATGCGAGATGATTATCCTCACAAATTGACAGAAAGTGACTTGGTTTGCTAACATCTCTTCGGAACCATTTGGGTTCTTGAATTGGGCTTTTTTTATAACGGCCGATATTTGATTCTAATTCTAATATATAATAATAAGTATTGATAGAAAATACTATAAACTAATGATGATTATCATTCAGTCTTCTACAGAACATAATTAAAGCTTGTGCACCGTCCATGTAAATATGAACATTGTATTATCTCGAACTTGGTGCTGTATAACATTTTTAATAAATATAATGTCTTTTAATGTTTATGTTATTAACTTTGAAAATTTAAATACTATGTTCATGAACGATTTAAAAAAAACAAAGATACAAATTACTCGAATTTCCTAAGGAATTGCTTGGTCACGATGTAAAAGAGTCAACCTATTGTATGATAAAAAGTCGATGAATGATATTAAACAACCGCAGGCGAGTTGTCTTTTGCAGTCGACGATTCTGGATAGAGAAAACGATGCCGGGCGTCGGTAGAGGTGCAGGATAGTGAGTAGGCACTATTATAGTACTGTACACATACATAATATATCGTCGATGAGTGAAAAACGAGCCGCACGTGCGCCCCCGAGGAGGAAATACCAGTTAAGTACGAAATAAAGGTTGGCTGTTGAGCAATAGAGTATAATATTCGCGGTGCGCAGCGCAAACACAAAAAGGCAGCCGTTGCGTGCGTTACATTACTATATATAAATATATACTTATAGTGTATAACGCGATTTGATATATAATATATGTACACAACGCAATTATTCACAAGTTGGTTTTTGATAAAACAGCAATAACGTTGCAGCAGTGCCGTCGGCTGCGTCGGGGCCGAATCCCGTACAACGGGAGATGGTACTGGCGGGGCGTAGAAGAAGGCCCGACTGACGGGGCGCAAGCGCCGGAAAGGAGATTTAATATTAAATTATATAAAACCTCGCGGACAGAGGTAGTTTAAAAATTCATCGGATACCAACCAAACAGCCGCGGGAGGATCGTCCGCCGTGGCAGCATTATTATGTTTATAAACCTAAGCCCAGCCCCGTTGCCTCCTCTTTCGCCAAACTTCCCGTGCGCATATTAAAAAAATATATATATATATAATATACAAACTGTTGGTGCAGCGAAGGTATATAATAAGAGTTGGTATATTTATGGTTTCGAGACTTCGAGTGATGCCTTTGTACCTGCGCGTGGAGCGGCGGTGGGCATTTTCGCTCCAGCAAAGGTCAGACTCGTCGCTCGGCGCTACGACGTTTTACAATTATATTATCATCTTATGAGACTTGATGGTTTCAGACTCTGCTGCGACAATATTATAGCAACCACACGACACTGTACGAGTAAAGGTGCAGCCCTCATATCACGATTGTCCATAATTTCTTGTGTTTATATGACCACATTATTATAACATTAATACTCATTTGACCACTGTAACCAGACGTCGACAGGTTAAATATTTTTCGACTTAACAGTAATTCCCTGGAATATGGTGCGTTAAAAAGATAACCAAAGTAGCATTTAACTAATTAAAACACCGGGAACTTAACACGACATTATACATTACGAATGCACAATAAGTGTAAAGACTTCTTAATTATTATTATGGTATACCATGCGGACAGCGTCTGTTGGACTCGCGGGGTGCTAACTACGGTATTATTATGGTATGTAAATGTTTTAATCAAAGACGGTATTATTACATAATATTTAAAATAATAATAATTATTATTGTTATTTAAGCGAAAAATATTCTCTCGTACGTAATATTATGTATATTATTATTATTTATTACTATTATAATATGAAATTCATGTGTGTGCGTGTATTTGTTGGACATCTGCCACCGGGCGGCTACTGAATATAATACAATAATATAGATGTTTCCTATTGTGTTTGACATTCGGGCGAGAAACTACTACGATGACGAAGGCGGCGAGGTGTCAATGGGACGCGCATTATGTTTTCGCCCCGATATATGCAATTATAATAATATATAGTAGTGGTAATAATAATAATAATAATATCGTATAGTGGCGTACTTGCATGACATGTAACGTACATGTATATTATATTATAATATTTAGTTGTCAACTTTTTTTTACTAATTTTTTTTTAAAAAATATTATTTTTAACGCCCGTAATTCCGCTCTCGCATCGATCAAGTCCGTGAGTGAATGAAGTATTAATTGCGTGCGAAAATAAAAGATGTAAAAAACGCGACCGATATGCAAATATTATCGCGAATTTTTAACGCGCCGCCGTTTTGACTGATCACTTGAAACGCTACAGAAATCGCCCCGCCCCGTCCGTGCGTGTGTGCGTGTGATACACATACAAAATATTACTATACACATAATATTATAATGTGCATTTTATGACGTGTAGCGTATAAAATTATGTATTATGCAAAAGCCGTACGAATTTTATACGATTAGAAAGCGTTATCAGTGGGTACGATTATTATTATTATTATTATTTCATGTAATATCGCGGGCGCCCAAGTGGCCACTCGTAAACCGTACTTAGTATAAACCGCGTACATAATTGACGGGGATTATAATAAATAATAATAATATAGTATAATGGAGCTGAATATTCATTATACTCAAGATATGATTTGATTTTCAAAACGACGCCCATTAAAAACGGAAAACACCTATTTAAATCATTATTAATCATCTCTCAAAATATTAAATAAACATTGGTCGTCGTTGGAAGAACGGGTGTTTTTTATTTTATTTTTTTTTACACTTTTTACACCGCGGTGTAGAGCATATCGAAACCAAATGAAAAATATATAATTAAACTAAAAGTAAAAAATCATAATACGCTCGTATAACGCGTTTTGCTAACGATCGAATTACAGTTTTGAACAGGCGAAAACGATTATGGTTTATAGAACAAACAGTCAACGATTTTTGCCGACTGATCATTCAAATTTTGTTTGCTACTGCTTATTATGTCTCGTCGCAATTTCCAAAACGCATTTAATTTTTAAGCCACTCTATAAATCGAGACCATAATTTATTTAACGCATTGAAATCGCGTCGTGTGTGTTACGAAATTATTTTTTGAAGTGTGTATTCTTCGGAAAGAATAATATAAATATAAATTATTGTTCGCGAACGAATAATAACAATAATATAACAAAAAGAAATAATAACAAATATTGCGCCCGAATGTATTCTGTTGAGGCCTCTAGTCGTTAATCCGTGTTTAGCGGTTGCCGCCTCGAGCGCCTTAGTTTCCAAACTATAATACAAATTGAACATTCCCGCGCCGCTCGCGAACAATAATAATAATAATTCGAGTTTCGACTTTTATCGTCTCGGCTCGTGATGCTAATTGCAAAGTGTACGCCGAAAAAAGGTCCTCCAAATGTGTCACGTTTAATTAATAAGGACCCCCTCGTCCGGGTCACACACACACACACACACACACACACGCGCACAGTACACTGGCATATAATATATAGTTTATTATATATGTATATAAACATATATCCGCGGGGATCTTTTTCGCCGCAACCATCAATTAACACCCGCAAAGGGTTCATCTTTTTCTTGGCCGAAGGGTGCATTTGCGAAACGTCGCTAGTGGTTTCTCCTTTATATACGATTCTTTTCAGACCCCGACCCGCTGATGGTGATTTATGTCTGGCCGTGAATAAGAGTAGAGGATAGACAGGGAGCGCGCGAAGACCTAACGACCGCCGATTTCGTATACACATTTAATGGCCAAGTTGTCCTAAAGCTCGCGTAATTAATTACGATCTCTCCGGCTGTGGTTGGAGTTGGAAAGCAAGCGAGACGCCACATAAAACGACCCGCTACGCGCCTGACACTTTCCCGCTCATCTGCGCAAGTTGTACTGCAAAATAATAATATACGGTTTACGATTTTTTTTCTGTTCACAGGTTCGCATCGCTGGGTACTCTGGATATTTGGACGGGACGATTGAAATCTGTAACTGGCTAAAATTCATCCGGTCCACCAACGACTGTAGTAGACAAAACGTCCGAGCGTTCTTGTTGGCCGGACAGGTAAACAATGTCGTTGGCGATAATTTTATTGTATTCGTCTCTGCTGCGATGTCGAATTTATGTTTATAATACCTGTTTTGTTTGTTTAATAGATATTTTACGAATTGACACAAACAGTCAGAGCTTCAGAAGAACTACTCTTGGGCAAGAGAGAGCCGCTGAATTTAGACGCAGCATTTGGAGAATTAATGACTACGTCCGCAGAGGATCGGAGTGAAAGAGATTCGGGTGAGTGCTTGTCACCTATTTTCCATGTATTAGATAATTATTATTAGTTTGTTATCTATTTTAATTTGTTGTCCATTGTGATGATTAATTATAAACTTTTTTCAAACTGAACCCGAACTCATTTTTAGTTCATGTTTTCAAATTTTCATCGAACATCGGTTAAAACTTAAAATATATTCCTTTCGACATAGCATATCATATTATAATGTACGTGATAATATTCTCCCAGTACTTTTTTCCTCACGTCACACCCCATTGTCGTAGACGTTCCCGCAAATGCCTCAATTAAAACGTCACTAATAATAATAATATAATGTTAATATTTTATGACAATGAGCGTATATCTGCCACTGCAATATGATCGGAATCGAGTTCGTGTATAATAATACGGTCGCAGATCTATTTAAAATCGGTCGGCACCACCAATACCCCATCGTACGGCTCGCACCCTTTCGTACGCACGTCTTTTAATCTTGACGTTAAGCTCGTTATTCTGTGTATTGTCTATCCATATTCTATGTTATTATATGCACGGCGGCCAGCAAATCCCGACAATGGCCTTCGCTGGAGAATTAATTCACAATTAATCGTATACAATATGATATTATATATTATACCACCGTACGCGCGTCGTCTCGTCACGGTCACATTTTTTGCGCCCGACACAATGATTTCGTTTTACGATCATTTTTTTTTTTTTTTTTTATCGCCGTCGTTTACGGTCGGCCGGCGGGGAGATCACCGCAATAATATTATATACATAATGTATAAAAACAACTTTATTATAACGGGGGCAGAGCGAAAAAAAATCGGAATTTGCGCACACACCTCCTCGCCTCACACAACGGGCAGGGGTGTTGATCTCTCTCGCTCTCTCTCTCTCTCCCAACATGTCTAAAGTCCCCGCCGACGACTGATAAAAGAGCTGTTCAAACACACACACACACACACGCATGTGACACAATCGTCGTGATGTATTCGTCGCCGATACATATATTATATACACAGGGAAAAGGGGTATATGGTGCAGCGTGTGTGTGCGCGTGGACTTACAACACCCCCTCGTCTCCCCGATGGTGGATGGGTTCTCGGTGGCGGGGCACCGTTAATGATCTGTACGCATGTCCGTTGTATTGTACGATATTTGTCATTTCGCGTCCGTCGCCGCTTTATTACACGCACACGTATGTATGGATCGCGGAACCCCTCCGCCGCGTATTAGGGTCGTTTCTATTCATTATTATATGAATCATATTTCTGGGCGGTTTATATCATAACTCACCTTCGTTCTCTCTTTATTCCTGTGTGTGGGTATATATATATATATAATTTTTTTTGCACCCCGTCCGCACACATGACGGAGAACAATATAATAATGTACGCGGAACCCACCGTGAAACCGACGCTCTCTCGCGCGCGCGACAAACGTCGCTAGATTATCTGTGTGTTTATAATATGCACATACACACATGTATATAGCTTTAATCGCGTCCGACATAATAATAATAGAGATGTCGACGGTGGCGGTGGCGGTGGCGGTGGCGACGAGGGGCACGGAAAACAACTGGGGAACGAGCATAAAAGAAAATTAGGGTAGATAATTTGTCTTCCGCCTGTACGAGTAATAAAGACCTAATAGCTTTGAATTGATTAAATGGGATTTTTTTTTCGCCCCGTACCACAAAACCCAATCCGTGTAACGTGGTACACACACACACACACACACACACACACACACACACACACACACACATTCACACACACGGACGCAGTTTAATACGGTCTATTATATATTATGTTATATTTTATTATATTATTCCGAGCAAACAAGACTGATTTGAGGCGTATATCGGACTTGAATTTCTCGAAAAGTGACTAACGTTTCTATCATAATATTATTATCCGTACATTCCGTCGGTACATCTACATAAAATCACCATTCGATACGATTGCGCCGCAAGGAATCGTTGCAGCGATATCCGAACCGACGACGGGTGTCGATCATTGCTTTACATATTTTATATTACATTATTATATATATTCTATTTAAGAGACCTATCGGCTTCACGTTTATTTTACTCCAGAATTCGGCTTCGTGTGAGGGGTAACGTCTGAACGTTGCACTTTCTGCAGTCGGCGTCAATCCCCGAAGATTAAACAAATTTATAACGTCAATAGGTCATAGTGATCATAGGACTGACTAATGACATTGACAAGTAGTCATAGTATTTAAGTAATTGTGTTGAAGCCTAAATGTCATTGAGTAACTTTTTATATCAAAACATTTTCAAATTCATCAAAATACGATTTGCTATAATACTATGATGAGTGATGACCATAATGACAAATGAGTAATGGACATGAAATTGTAATGCTTTTATGATTATGATCGTGTCAGAACACGAAGAGTAAAAAGAAATTTGAACTTTTATTGACTCAAAATAGTTTGATTGACTATAACATGCGGGTTTTAATCCGAGTCCAAAATCCGACCATCCAACTTCACCTCTGTCATCAGTCGATGATATTCTCGTAGTATTTGTTTTTAGTTCTTATATATTTTAATCAAATGTTGTTACAAATATTATCAAATATCATTACAGCGTGTTCGGCAACAATATCGTTATGATTTATGACGAACAGCTAGCTGTTCGGACACGTTCGTATTTGACTGTGCGAAACCGCAATAAAATGAAAAGTCGAGATATATATTAAATATTATATATGATTCGAAGTATTGTGTACCGATTGAGATCTTTCTCGGTACGCTATTAATGCGACAACAAGAGCTCGAATTACACTGAACAGTATGCGTTTTCCGTTTATTTCTACTTCTTGTATTTTATACATAATTTAAAATAATATCTTGTGAAAACATATATCGGACGATAAAAATGATTTTTTTTTTGGTTCTGAACATAACAAAATATACTATTGCGTTTCACAATATTAATAATACAATAGTTATTACGGTGAGACGGTGAGACGGTGATATATTATTATTTTATTTATACGTCTCATCGGTGCGTAGGCGCATGACGCTCACACCGTTTTACTGCATTGGCAACAATTGTAATATTTTTATTATTGTTACCACGATCGGTGCAATGAGTCACGTTTTCTCAAAAACAATATATTGTAACAACATCTCGTTTTACGCTCTACGATCTCAAACGAAAAACACGAAAAATTTGCGAACCAAAAATAAAAAACGATCGTAAACACATCACGGCCAAACGCCACAGCCGCCACAGCGAGCTCCTCGAGATAAATACTGCGACAACCGAGAGGGTGTTTTTAATTAGCGATTACTATTCGCGGGCGCGCGAGTCCCGGGGAAGACCGTTAGCTACATCTGATGCAAATATTAATTAAAACAAGTTCTCGGCTCCGTCGTGTCAGTCACGGTATTATCGTTATCACGAATTCACAGCGGGGGGAGGGGGGCTCGTAGGTCGTAAAAATTAGCTCTTGATGGTGTTCGCGCGCGACGGGTTCACACTCGCCTCATCTTAGCGGATAGGGCGGTTTCGAGTGTATTATGTAAAATATTATATCGTATAATATAGAGAGACCTCGAGACAATAAACGCCCGGCGGGTTTAAGAGCTTCGAAGTATATAGTAAGTATTATATAGTATAATAATAATTATAGTATAGTACCCGCTTACGCCACAGCGCGCGGCAGCAAGTCTCTATTTTATTGTTAATGTTGTTATGATATGAGCCGTTTGTTTTTTGTTTGTCGTCAGTTGGTGGATTTTTTTTGTCCAAACCTCATTTCATATATATGGCGATTAACGTTTGATTAAAATCGGGGTTTTTTTTTACGGTCGACACGAGCCGACTTCACGATGTCACGCGATTGCCCTAACCGGTTCGTATACCTACAATATGTGTACGTGCCCGCGTGCTCGCAGATGTTATGTGCTGGATTTGACTTGCCATAGGTCACGCGAGATTTTTCGGATCAAATCGAATCGCAGGGGTCGGCTGCACACGTGTCCCGTAAAAATAAAACGCGATCGTCGGTCACGGCCAAACGACACAGCCGACCGCCGCCGTCTAATCGCTGCTACTGCAGTGTGCACCCAGTACATAACATAGGTACATCTCTACCCCTGGAAATTCTCGGGGGGGGGGGGGGGCACATGGAATAAAACAAAAACAAACCCCTCGATGCTCATATACTACACATTAAAGTTATAAGGAGCTGTAATATAATTCGTATATAGGAACGACGCCGATATGTGAGTCCTCGACCGAAACAATTCAATAATTCTATAATCATCGGGCACCGTATAATACACGGCATTGCCGGACCGGATGAACAATGTAGTGCCTTGTACTTGGCTGTGCAGCGAAATCTCCCGAATTCATTATCCCGCGGATCGATCGGGCGCCCCCTTTTTGTTTTTTAACGGTTTTCACATGACCGGAAGAGATTCAAACTCCCACTTCCTGGTGCCAGTCGCAGACACCTGGCCGACGTCGCCCCCCTTCCCCCCTGGACAATCAGTGTGACTTAACCCCTATTACGCGTTATTATATTCTTATATATTTTTCATATTTTATTTTTCCCGTTCCGTGTACCTACGTATATATATATATACCGTTGCCCGTCGTCATGGACACGTTTTATATCATATTTTATTATTGTTTGACGTGCTCCGGAGTATTGTTATTGCACTGCAGTTTATTATATTCGGTGGCCGTACCGTCGCCGGAACCGTGTGTGGCTTGTACACTTTCACGACGATTTCGAGTGGGTCAGAAAACACGGGTGGAAAAAAATAATTCTTCTGCGCCCGGCCGCCTCGTCGCCGTTGAATTAACGTTGTTTTAGACCGTTTCGCAACGCTGCCCGTTGTACGCGATGTATACCTATACGGTCGTGTATCCACGTATAATGATACGAGTCCGTCTCCCGCAGTCGCCCATCGTGCATGCATATAGTTGTTATTCCGGACCATATTGAATTATAATATACGTTCGCGTCTGGCGTTTGTCTTGCATCAGCGAATCCGTTGCGATGGCGGAGAAGTGGGGGGGGGGGGAGGGCAAGGCGAATGACTCGTATGCTTGGTCCACCGCAGTGTGTCGTCCGCGTTTCTCACGCAAATCACCGGAGTCTGTCCGTGTACGCACAATGAATGGCTGCACCGTACGGTGGTTACGTGTAGGTATCTATGGGTACAATACAACGACGCTGCAATTAGCCCATCTGTGCGATCCGTTACAGACTTGTGTGGCGGAAACACAGGATGCAGGTGTGACTTATACTCGAGCTTGAGCAGTGCATGATGACGCGACGACGTATTATAATATTATGCAATAATGTTATATATTCGTGACGGAAAAAGATAGAGTCTCCATACTATTTATATATAATATATATATATATATATACACATGTGTAGAATCGCCGTTGTATATATATATATATACGTATATTATAATAATATCCGCCCGTCGGAGCTTTTGACTTTGCAGAATATGCGATTAGCGCGGGTGTGTGTGTGTGTTTTTTTTTAACGTGACATAAAAGTGTGCGCGAGGGTCCCCGAAAAGAAGGGGTGTTGCGTGCCGTGTGAACTCAAACGAAAACCGAGTATTAGTGGGCGGATATTCGATTACACGCGTCAAACGTCCCCTTATATCGGGTATATGTATATATGTATGTAATATCGTAGTTCTGCCACACACAGCAGTCTTAATAGTTTCTGCGAACAATATGCTTTTTGATTTTTATATTTTTTTTTTTTTTTTATTCGTCGCCCGGCGGATCGCTCTGTTTTATATTTATCGGTCGTATTTTTATTTTCGAATTTATAAACTGTCGTTCGTAGGGCGTATAGTCGGCGGTTATATTAATTCGATCTTCGACCACCGGAGACTGCGGTTTATCGTACGTTTGCCTGCATATATACTTTTATCACCGGGATGCGGATCCTGGGTCTGTTGGTCACGTTTTCGGTTATGCGTATACTGCAGTTTCACGTGCAGTAATAATAATATATACGATAATAACAGGTGTGGCAAAACGTCAGTTGAAAATCCCAATCGCACCTGACGCATCGGTTCCAATGATATGGCGCAATTCGAGAACCCCCTCGCCCAACCACCCCGGCAACCCCGCGAGCTCCGTTAACGTCCGCGTAAACTTACGGCCGCGCGTGAATTAATTATGCCATCAGGTACACACACACATACAAACAACGGTGCAGCTCTAATACACGTCACGGAGCCCTCTGTGTTTGGTTTCCGTTCCGGAAGGTAGCTTTCATCCCTCGAATTAAAAGCGGGAGCGGATAGTGTCCCGCAGATAGCCAATAGCACACCGGAGGGTATAATAATATGTAAACACACACGCAAACGATACAGTAGTACCTACCGTCTACCGAGTCGATGTCGGTATAATTTTTTTCACCTCAATCACGCAGCGACACCCCGAGCGCAGGTACGCTCCTCAAACGCGTTTATGTGTTCTATATGATATTATGATATACCGTCCGTCGCTCGAGATTATCCCTGCACCCTGACCCCCTTAGTAATTTTAAATCAACACATTGTTGTACATCGACTGTCAATATCTTATACTGATCGTGCGTTTTGGTCGTTGTGTTTTTATTTAGTCGTCGCGTCGCAGAACTCACTGGGATCGATCGACGGTGACGGAGACGTGGACGTGGACGCCGAGGAGCCGGACGAAGACGACCAAAATCGGTGCATCTTGTGCGAGAAGTGTTTTCCCGACATCGAACAGTAAGTCGAAAGCGCATTATAATTATTATTTATGGGATATTACACTGCAGTAGTACTCGCTACACTTACTATATTTTACCTACAGCGGTTTTCGTTCACTAATAAAATAAATGTACACATCACGACGTTTTTTTTATATATTATATATTATATTTTAGACTTTCTATATCGTCCCTCGATTCCCCGCAGTTCGCTATTTCAGCGTAGTATGTATTATTATTATGTACGATATATCTAGTCCGCGCAGACAACAAGCAAGCTTGTTGAGGGGAGGGTGTGAACGCCTAAGTGCTTAAACGTGTAACTGCGGTCACGGTCCGGAGACCGCCCGCCGGTCCGGCACTTCATTTTTCAAGACGCCCTCTTTTTTTCTCTTCTTTTTCGCTCTCATCCGAGAATCATTGGTCCCCGCGACGACGTCGTTTCCTTGCCCCCAACCTTGCCGACCGACCGTCCGAAGACGTGACCGATAATAGCGGGGCAATAAGACATTATATATAAATATCGATTTTCGTATATATATAAGCCGTTCGTCCTCCAAACTTTAGAGATTTTTCGAGGGGTAGGTGTAAAAGAAATGCGTGTGCATATCATATAACGCGTTTAACGGCTTCTCGACACGATCGTAATCGAGCTTTGTCGCCGATCTAATAATAATAATAACCGACCATCATACAATATTATTATATCACAATGACATAGTGTCAAGAGGACGCGCGCAAAGACAAGTCTAACCGCTTGACTTTAGTCGTATCCGTGATATTTTACTGTCGTGGCACATGTCCTGATAATACCATTTTACGTAATACGGTTAATTTTTCAATGACAACGAGCATTTTTAATTTCTTATTCTAAAGCCGAATGTTTTTGGAGTTGGTACTTCTATGTATTTCGAGTTTTCGACCAGATAACTATTTAAAGTTTAGACGAGCAGAGTGGAGTGTGAATGTCGCAAAATGTTGATCCGCCAGCGGAATGGTCATCTAAACTTTAAAACAATTTTGTCCAAAATGTGATTTTTATAGATTCCGATGTATGACAATCAAATAACTCCGGTACTTTGAATAATATTCTGCTTCGGAAGATATTAAATCAAAAATAATCGTAGTTGTAAAAATATAATTTTTTCCACAAAAATATTTCTGTTTTCTGAAATAACGGGTGTCTCGCGTTACATGGATCAACCCGTGTATTCTGTCACACTTTCAATGATGACGATCTACAGCCAATAACGTTTCTATTCATTCGCAGGCTCGATGATCATCTGGTGTCTGGTCACCACTACAAGGCCAATCAGTACGGGTGTGAGCTGTGCCCGCAGTCGTACAGCTGGAAGCCGTGCCTGATCCGGCACCTAGCTTTGGCCCACAGCCGAAAGTTCACGTGCGAGACCTGTTCCAAGGTGTTCAGCGACCCGAGCAACCTGCAGAGGCACATCCGGACCAATCACGCGGGTGCCCGGTCGCACGCTTGTTCCGAGTGCGGCAAAACGTTCGCCACGTCCAGCGGGCTCAAGCAGCACACGCACATACACTCCAGCGTGAAACCGTTCCAGTGTGAAGTGTGTTTCAAGGTGCGTTCCCTATATACATTATTACAACATTGAAATTATGCGCGTTACCGATTCGTCGCTATAATAATATGTCGCTCACCGCCGCCGCCGAATATCATATTATTATTATTTAGCCAGCCGTACTGCCATTGTGCGCGTCTTATCGCGTTGTTGTGTTCGCGCGCTGCATTAGGTAAAGCGTGCAGTGCGTGTACGTACAGTTATTTAATCAATCGGTTCCCGTTGTGTCGCCGATGACGACGACGACGACGACGACGTGCCCGCAGTTATCCCGTCCGTTTCCTCAATGATAGCCCGCGTAGATGCCGTCGCAATCTGCACCGCGGTTGTTGTACCGGTCACGTATATTGCCGCCGACTGTGAGAGGTCCGCCCGATAGGCGCGCGTTTGTTATCGGTGGCAATACGTGCGCGATGCGTACGACAAGGATGCCTTATTGTCTCAGTCGACGGCCACCGATTTTCACTACGGTCGCCCGATAACGGAATAATATAATAATGATTAATATACAGGACGAGAAAAAATAATAAAAAAATAATTATACAACGACGCGAACCGCAGTCTGGTCGCGATCTCCGCGCGCGCGCGCTCTCGTTTTTCTCACACGTCTCCCGCGGTGACGACAATCGTTGTCTTTTGTGCAGCTTTTCTGCTGTTACCTTGTTATAATATTTTACTTTACACCGTAATCTAACGCACCATCTGTCGCTGCTTGTTCTGTTTGCAGGCGTACACTCAGTTCTCAAACCTCTGCCGGCATAAGAGGATGCATGCCGACTGCCGAATGCAGGTAAAGTGCGACCGCTGTGACCAGTCGTTCAGCACGGGGACGTCGCTGTCCAAACACAAGCGGTTCTGCGAGTCGAACCCGTCGCCGTCGCCGTCGTCTCTCACGACGTCCGGCGCGGGGGTCGGTGGCGGAATGTCATCGTTACAGCAGCAACCCGGGTCCGCGGCCACCGCCGGATCTTCGCCGTTCGCCGTTTACCCGCGGTTCCCGCTGTACCCGCCGCACCCGCTCGTCCATCCGTTCTACTTCCCGTTGGCCAACGGATCACTGCCACCGCCGCTGTTCCCGACGCCGTTCGGCCAGTTCACGCCCAAGCTGAACATGGACATGTTGTCCCTGTCCAGCGCCGTCGAGCTGTGCAACAACCGGTTCAAGAGGTCTGCAGGCGAATCGGAACACAACGAAACGCCCGCCAAACGGTCGTCTTCGTCGTCGTTCAACGCCGGCCAAAAGACTCCGCCGCCGCAACCGCCGACGTCGTCCAGCGTGGCTATGCTGATGGGCTCGAGCAAGACGTCGCCGCTAGTCGGCGAAGAGGCGTCATCCAACCAGCGGCCGTCGCCGGCCCGTCCCAGCGCTACTTACCCTGATCCCAAAGTGCACGTTAAACGGCAGCCGTCCGGGGACGAGGATTGTGGCCCGTGTGACCTGTCCGTCAACACTGACATCCTGTGCAACGGCGGTGGTTCGGCAGACGAGCTGACGACGGACGACAGTGCTGGCGGACGCCGATCGTCGGACGATGATGGGTCGCCCTGCCGATCGGCGGACAGGTCAGACCAGCCGCTAGACTTGTCGGTAACGAAAGTGCAGCGCCGCCGAAAAAAGTCGCCGACGGCCGTTCGTCCACCACCACGTGATGACAGCCCTCGTGCCGACCACGTCGGCGGGCGATCCGAGCAGCGTGGCCGCAAGTGGTCGCCACCGTCTTCGACACCACCTCCACCACCACCCCCGCCGCCACCACCGCCGCCGACTCAGAGGCCGTCGTCGTCGTCGCCGTACTCCTCGGTCAGCAACCTGATGGCCTACCCCAAACCGCTGTACTTGGACTCCATGTATCCTTCAGCGCTGTCCGGGTTCGCAGAGAGCCAGCTGCAGCACATGCAGGCGCATCAGCCTTTCGGGCCGTCCGCCACCAGGTCGTTTCCGTTCATGTCCAGCTCGTCGCCCGCCATCGAACACTTTCTCCGGCAGCCAATGCCCAACTACTCGAAATCGTACCAAGACATCATCCAGCAGCATCAGAACCATCACGGACAGCACCAGAACCAGCACGGACAGCACCAGAACCAGCACGGACAGCAGCAGCAACAGCAGCACGTCAAGTCCAAGGACAGGTACGCGTGCAAGTACTGCGGCAAGGTTTTCCCGCGCAGCGCCAACCTGACCAGGCACGTGCGTACGCACACCGGCGAACAGCCATACCGGTGCGCGCACTGCGAACGGTCTTTCAGCATATCGTCCAACCTTCAGCGGCACGTGCGCAACATACACCGGCAGGAGCGCAACTTCAAGTGCAATCTGTGCAACCGTCGGTTCTCGCAGCAAACCAATCTGGACCGGCACGTCAAGAAGCACGAGGCGGACGACGGCACCGCCGTCGGCACCGTCACCAGCAGTTCGGCGAGCAGCGTCGACGAGAAGGAGGACCCCAGGCTGTTCGAGATCCGGAGCTTCATGAAGAAGGTGAGCGACCACGGGTCGGCGGCCGCAGCCGCCGCCGCCGAGATGCAGAACAACAACGTGGTGGTGGACCCGTGCGGCCTGCAACAGCCCGACGACGGTCTGCAGTACGCGGCCCACTTATGACCCGTGGCTCCGCCGCTCTACTTGAATTGGGCCCGTTGATGGGCCCCCCACGGCCCTCCGCCATGCGATGTCGTCATACGGCCGTCATGGCACAATAAACATTATTATGTAATATTACATATGTCATATATATATCGTCACAAATCTCCGAGTACCTCCACACGCATATTATATTATACATATTATTATTATAACATTATATATATTATTATTATATTATATATTATTATCATAGGTCCTATCCTCTATCGTTCGTTTTCTTCTATATTTGTTTATATTTATTTATTTATTTATTTCGGCGTTTTACATTCGGTTCGCCCATCACAAGGGTACTGTATTATTACAACGGTTAATTAATATACGTCACCGACCGTCGTCATCGTCTGTATAGATGCTTTATAATATGCTCATCGCGTCCGTGGTATGACAAATATTATGTCTGAGATTATATTACGTTGATATATTATATATTCTCTCTCGGCCAAAAATAATATTAAAATATGTAAGTACAATATTATTATTGTCATTATACCATAATATTATTATAATACCGCGACAAGGTCGTCGCTGTTTGCTGCTGCTCCTGCTACCGACTAATATAATATATTATATTATTATACGTACATATTTATAAATTATAAATATTATTATTATTATTATTATTATTATTATTATTGTATTGATATTATTATTACGCTCGCACCAAAGTAGACATTATGATATTATTATTAAACTATACAAATTTTTAGAAGATTTACATAGCAAGGTTTTTTTTTTATTTTTTACTTCTCTATATTTGATAATATATGTATACAAATTATACGTTGTACTTTTATTTTAGTTTGTAACTTTGTAAAATTTAACTCAATTATTATAATCTTGTGATAAAAATTCCTAGGTTTTTCTTAATTTTAGTGTATACCAGTGTAAATTTGTTTTGTTATACTATTATTATTATTATTATTATTATTATTTTTTAACAATTAAGACCAAGTATCACGTTATTTAGTCATCACAACAACTGTGTATAGCAATATATACTATTTGTCATTTGATATTTTTTCCAAAGCAAAACTAGTGTTTATATATGTATTAAAATAATTATCAAATAATTTAAGTATTATTTATATTTATATATGTGTAATGTATACAATTTAATTAAACTTTACCAAACGTAAATTATTATTGTATAAGTTAATCAATCCCAAAAAATTAAATCCATTTTCGATAGTATTTATAATAATATTATATTATACTCACAATTCTGTTATAACTTAATATAAATATTATTAATCTAATTTAATTTATTAATAATACTTTTATTTATTTTGCTAAAAATTAATGTTAAATTGAATTTATTTATAAGAATGTTTTTTTCGAAATAAATCAATATCATAATATTATCCTCAATAAAATTCCGAACTACTGTTATTTTTTTATTTATACCTAAAGTTAATTTGTGATGATAAAAAAATACTTAGGATTACCGATTATGTCATATCTTGTTGTTCGCAAAAAAGAAACATATTTTATGATGTTAGCTTATCGGCGTACGTTCTTAAATTTCTGTTGCCAAACCGTCTACAATAATGAGTAATGACATATACGCACTTATAATTGAAAACAAATGGTATTTAAAACAATTAAAAATTTATTAGCGAAGATAGGACTCGTTAGAATATTACACATCTAACCTCTTTAAAAGAATAATGAAAACATTTAGTAACCATTAACTTACTATTGTCCTAAGATATTTATTTCATTTTTTTGCTGTTGTACTGATAAAATGACCTTTTCATGACATTTAATTGAAACTTTATTTTAATTTAATATGTTGTGATACAATATAACAAAGGATTTGATTTTAACTGGCCAAAATGATAGAAAACAGACTTTACGAAAATCAAATAATATTGCTTTCGGCAAAAGACCGAATATCCACCTAGCTGCGCCTATGAATAAATTCGTAATATTATTTGTACACAAAAATATAGAGTTGAACAAACTGCTGTAATGGTACCTATGGCATATTATATTGCATAAGTAACTGTCTCACTAACGTAATTAAATTTAAAAAAAAGTTCAAACATATACATGTTATTTTATTTCGACGATAAAGCACGTATATTAATCGTAAATGACATTGTGAGATACTGCTTATTTTTAATTACATCTAGTTCTAAAAAAAATGGTTAATTTTCAGTACCTACCGCCAGTTTTGTACAAGGAACTATTGAAGATAATATTGTAATAATAAATGTATGAAACGATTAACCTGAGTGCAACAGGTCTCTGGTGACGTGCTGCAATAAGAATGAAATTTACTAAACACGTGTGTTATTGTACAATCGATTACGATTTATTTTATTGTAAAACGACCTTAATGTTGCCGCAATATTGCAGACCTTAAACGAATGGTGATTTGACATTTTTAATTCATACATGAGCACTCGGTATACAATATCGTCTTTGGGCCCGATGTCAACGGGATACCGTGTAAGAACACGCATTTGTTCATAAAATAATATTCAGAAATTATATTCGAAACTGACCAATGAACTAATTTTGCAGGTCAAACACTAGTAATATAATTACAGGGGATTAGTTTCACTGTGTGTAGCAGTGGTTTTTTTCCGGTAGCGATGTGCTTCACAAATCATAATATGTAATAGGTACTTTGTAATTATTATACTTCGAAAAATTAAACGATTATTTAGTTATTTGATTATGCCATAATATTCATAATAAGCGTAGGTACAGGCTTAATGCTCATACCGTTTTGTAAATTTGTTTTGCACAACATTGTATTTTGAATGTTATCGAATAATTGTATTTCAATTCAAGATTTCTGAAAACGTTTTTTATAGAATAGATTGCCCGTCAGTTTTGTTCATTTTTAGATATGATCTCATGGCCTGTGTGAACGACCACAATACACTTACATGTGTATATGATTAAATGCATATAGGTAGTATTTAATTTATTATTTTTCTGTTAAAACTTAAAATCATGAACATTTAAACATTTGTGTTATCTTATCAAATAATTGATAGGTATTGTGTAAATCGTATTAACCTTTTTAAGTTACACTCGCCGATATATTGATGATCGATGGGGTTACACATTCTTATGAAATATATACCGTTATAAACAATTAATTTTTTTACAGTAATATTTCACAGCTTATGGTTAACAACTGCGTATTTATAACGTAATATCTAGAAATGTTATCTAGATAAAAACCACTTATCTCTTCTACATAAGTTTCGGTTCAACTATCTTTGTCTTGAGTGGAGCGATGAATGTATTAGTTTTACAATAAATTATGTGTTTTTTGAGTGTATATTATCACCTTTTGGAAAAAACTATTTATAAAACGAGAAAACGCATTTATTATTATTTGGTCGCCACTGAGATTAGACACTAAGTACCTACGGAATTGTAATCATCTAAAAACATAACAGAAATGTAATCTTCCTAAGGTGATGTACCGAAATTGCCTATTTAGAACGCCGAGCGATCGTCATTTAATTGGAAAAAAAAAGATCCAAACATTCTAACGCACGAGCCAGAAGAGTGGAGAGTGTAAATAAAAATCAAAAAAAAGTTCAATAATGTTATTGTTATGACTACAAAGCGGTTCGTCTTGCGTTCGTTCAGAACGCAGGTTAGGAAGTAACGCGGGATTCACGTCACTTTTATTATTTATTCTTTAATTATCTTTTGATACACAGATTCGTGTTTCAGTAGGCACGTGGAACATTATCGACGTAAATCATATCCGGTATTATCGGATGCACGTCAATCAGAATCAGAGATCGTCGTAATATAATAATATGTAGTGTTATATATTAATATTTTGTAGTGACCGATGGTGTATTATACTATGTGGGACGGATAACGAAACACGTTGTCACCTATCGGCGTTCACCCACCATGTCGTTAGAAGGAATCAACGACGATGTAGTTATTTGCAGATTATTAATTGATATCATGTGCACTATGATTTTATTTTAAATTTAGGCTCAGTGTGGCCCAGAAAATATAAAATTGTAGGAAAGGAAAAAATATACCGTTATTAAGCGCGCTTCAACATTTGGAAAAAAAGACAAAAGTATAAATATGTAATACAATAAAGTGGCTCAAAGTGTCACGTTTAGAAAAAAGAGACGGATATGAATAAAAAAAAAACAGTCAGGAAATCTCGCTCACTCCACGAGCAGCGTGTTAAAAAGAGTGCTTTTGGAAAAAAAAAAAAACATAAACATTAGGCGAGAGACATAAGCTATGGAGGGGGTTTACGTGAATCCATTTGTGGGCATTTGTTGGCCACTGGTCACTTCCACAGCATTCTCACGGCTAGTCCCTAGCCGACGAGTGTCGCTGGCGCTTGATGGCAGGCGAAACACGATCGCGACAGTGGTTGGAGCGACGACGGCTTACAACGAGCGGATAGTGTACCTCGGAGATGCGCAGGACTATCGTGGTAACGACGACATCTACACGGTCGTGTTGCATGTACCGCCAGGACAGCGCCGTGGTCCTTGCCGCGCAGTGTCCTCTTGGTCTGGTGGTCGTCCGTCTCTGCTCGAGACAGTGACAGGCTGGGGCCCGCCGAGCCGCCAGGAGGTCTCGCGTGTCAGCGATCGCGAAAGCCTCATCACGTCTGTACCTTTGCGGGTGACCGAAGAACACGCGCGCGGGTAACGTACACGGAGCGACAAAACAAGACCGGGTCTATACAATTATTTGGGTATGGTCGAATTGCACGTCTTATTTTAGTCGAATTGCACTCGGGTTTTAAAAAAGGTAATGGTCGAACTGCACTCGGGTAAAAAACAGGTGGTGGTCGGACTGCACTTGGGCTCAAAAAAATATTTTAATAAAATTATCGTGCATTTGAAGGGCTTTTTTCTTTGCTGAATTTGAAATCATTCTCCGAGGTAAGTGGTTCTTCATGAATATGTGTCAATTCAGACCGAAAAATTACTTTAGAAAATTCATCTAGATATAGTTTTGAAAGACAACCACGATGGGTACCACGCCATTTAACACCATCATTTACATATTTTTCTTCACAATATTTTTAACGGGTTTTCCATTTTAATTTTTTTTTTTTTTTGAACGAGTGCAGTTCGACCACTACCTTTTTTCAATCCATATGCAATTCGACCATTCATTTGTTGGTAATAAGTGCAATTCGACTATCCCGAATTATTTAACTCCTCTCCAAGCGTCGAATCGCATTACCCGACCGTGTCGGGTTTAGTGTGGTGCGCTGGTGTTACTTCCGGTTCAAGCCATCCGACTAGTGGTCAACTGCAGGCGTGTTTCTCGCCTTCGAGCTCTTGGCCGGAATCACGTAGACCATCAACGCTATACGTCGCCGACGGTTCCGTCCTCCTATTATGTTGGACAGCTGTTCCTTTCTCGAGTGGTCCGAACATGCGGCCTCGTGTATGCCGCTGGACGTGGAGCGTTTGTGTGGTCACATTCGTTTCCATGTTCCACCTTGAAATGTCAACCTCTGTTCGGAACTGTGCGTTTTGGCGAGGCGCTTCATCCGTCCTCGTAAGTCTGAGATGTTTTCATGCCCAGAGCGGCACTATGGCCCATTCGTATTTTAGTGCAGCCACGCGTTGTTTATAAATAAGTATCTAAAAAAACATTTTCAACGCGATAATGCCCTCAAG